GGTCCGCACGCCTTCAGCGCGCCTCCTGCCACGGGGCACAGCGCGCACGTCGCGGCAGCCTTGTTAAAGTTCTCGGCCGAGGCCAGGCAACATAAGTCGCACAGAAACGGCCGCTGGTTCACGCCGAAGCAGACAGCGTGCACCGTGAGCTTGCAACGGTAGCAAGACACGAAGTCTTGCGCGTTCTTCGTCAGCTGGCAGACGGCGCAGTACACCGGGCGCAGCCCGTGCGGCGGCTTGAGCCCGCCACCGGGCGGCGGGTTGCTGCCCAGCTCTGCGGACTGCGCGCCTGCAGAGCCCGGCGGCGGCTGCAAGTCCGCCTTGCGCGCCGCTAGCGCAAACTCCGGCCGATAGCCATGCGCCTCCGCGGGCTTGAAGTCGACGTCGCGCAGCACGCACTCGTTGTTCGCGCTGTCGTTCTCCATGCCGCAAAGGTCTCGAGGCTAACCAACGCGCGCGCTTAGGCACAGGCAGCGCGCGCGCAAATCCGCGAAAATCGCGCCAGCGCTTGCGCAGTGAAGAAGGTTCGCATCCGGTAAATTGATAAAAATGCCAATTTGTAATCTCTGCAAATTACAGACCCTATGGGGACTTAGCGCGAGTTCGCTAGTTGCGCCGTTAGATGTCATGTAAGCATGTTTTGCGAGACTCCTCGAGTGGTGATCGCTCCCGCTGCGCCGTGGCGCTGCATTCGCGGTCGCGGCCCGCGTTCAGCGAGTGGCTGGCACGCGAAACCGACCCGGCGGAGCGCTGCGACGGCCGCGGTGCCGCTGCGCGTGGCTGCGCGCTGGCGGTCGACGCGAAAGCGATTTACGTGCTTCGCTCTCGCGAGCAGCTTTACGTGCGGCTGGCGCGGCTGCCGAGCTACTGCGTCGCCGCGGCGCTGCACTTTGTCGCCGAGCTGAACGCGTTGTTGCTGGCGTGCGTCTCGCAGTCGCACGAACTGTACCTGTTTTGCGCCGACGCGGCGCGCGCGCGCGTCAAGCACGTCGCCACGCTCAGCTTCGATGCTGACCCGCGCGTAGCCGTCTGCAGTGAGCTCGAGC